TTACTTGGGCGTGGTCGTAAGTTTCTTCATTGTCGGAATTCTCTTCTTTTTCATGTAGATGATTGTAAACGTCATTATTTACGTCATTACCATTCTCCATCGAGCTTTTTATATTTTCGTGAACATTTCGGTTCTTGTTTAATTTATCAGAATGAGCAAATGGTGGCACGTTCACAACTTTTCTCTAAAAATACTTTATTTATTTTCACAAATAGTTTTTTGATTGATGCGATTTTTTTATCCTTAAAATAAACTTGAATTTAAAGAGACAAATGTAGTTTCTCCAAACTTTATAAAAATTCATTTAAATATAGAGAGAAAAATTAAAAAAAAATATATGTAAAATTATTTAAAATAGATATATTAAGGAACATGTTGTTTCTATGTCTGAAGATAATGATTATGAGGTCCAAGAGACAGTTTATGATTACTGTTCACTAAAATATGAATAAGGAAGGTTATATTTTTGTGAAACAAGAGACCTATGGGCCACATCGCTCACCCACGCACATGGACTAGATAAAACATATATCAGTTCAGTATTAAAAAAATTACTTGTTGGGGAGGGGGGATTTGAATTTTAATTACTTGAGAATGTCACTATATCAATAAACAATACATGTATAATTTCTCCATGCTTGAAAAGAAGAGTTTTAAAGATATTTCCAATATATTTCTATCTAAAGATTTGATTGCCCATCGTGGCCCCACTTTACCCCCAGGGATCATGACATGAGAAAACTTGAATTAACTCGAACTGAGGATGTTTCCACATCAATATCACCAACCATAGCTTTGTTGATTTTTAGAAAAAGATTTTTAAAAGATGTTTCCTATGTATTCCTATGTAGAACTTTGATAAGCCAGTGGGCTCCGCCCTATCCTTGGGGGTCATGATTTGAACAAACTTGAATCTATTCTACCGCGTATGCTTCCACATGAGATTTATTTTTACAGGCCCAATGGTTTTGGAGATAAAGATTTTTAAAAGATTTTCCTATATATTCATATATAAAGCTCAGATATAAATTGTGTCCCCGCCCTTACCCCGGGGGTCATGATTTGAAAAAAAAACTTGAATCTACAAAACCTGAGAATGCTTCCACATGAGTTTCATCTTTCCTGGACCAATGGTTCTGGAGAAGTATATTTTTAAAAAATCCTATATATTACTCTGAACAAACTTGAATCTACAAAACCTTAGGATGCTTTCACGTGAGTTTCATCTTTCCTTGACCAATAGTTCTGGAGAAGAAGACTTAAAAAATTCTATATATTCCTCTGTAAAACTTTTAGCAGCCATTGTGGCCCCGCCCTACCCCTGGGGGTCATGATTTGAAAAAAACGTGAATTAAAACTACTTGGAAATTCTTCCACATGAGTTTCATCTCTCCTGGCCCAATGGTTCTGGAGAAGTTTTTTTTTTTTTAAGATTTTATTTATATCCATATGTAAACCTTTGATCAGCCATTGTTTCCCCATCCTACCTCCGGGGTCCTGATTTGAACAAACTCTACACTACCTGAGGATGCTTCCACATGAGTTTCATTTTTCCTGGCCCAATGGTTCTGGAAAAGAAGAATGTTAAAAAAAAATTCCTATATAATTCCTATGTAAAACTTTGGTCAGACATTGTGGCTCCGCCCTACCCCCGGCTGTCATGATTTGAACAAACTTGAATTTACACTACTTAGGGATGCTTCCTTGAGTTTTTATCTCTCTTGGTCCAATGGTTCTGGAGAAGACTTTTTAAAAGATTTTTTTTTTTAAATATTCCTATGTAAAACTTTTATCAGGAATTGTGGCCCTGCCCTAACCCAAAGGGTCATGATTTGATCAAACTTGAATCTATTGAATCTACACAACCTGAGAATGCTTTCACATGAATTTCATCTATCTCAGCTCATCGGTTCTGGTGAATAAGATCTTTAATATTACTTTTCTTTTATATTCCATTGTAAATTTTTGATCAGCCATTGTTGCTCTGTCCTACTCTGGGGCTCATGATTGAACAAACTTGAATCTACACTACCTGAGGAGGCTTCCACATGAGTTTCATCTTTCCTGGCCGAATTGTTCTGGAGAAGAACATTTTTTAGAGAAGTCATTATTTTTCTCTAATTCATAATTATCTCCCCTTAGAAGAGAGCTTGGCCTTTCATTTGAACAAACTGGAATTCCCGTTACCTAAGGATACTTTGTGGCAAGTTTGATTGAAATTGGCCTGGTGGTTCTTGAGAAGAAGATGAAAATATGAAAATGCGACGACAACGACAGGAACGACAGACAATGGACAAATTTTGATTAGAAAAGACCATTTGAACCTCAGGTTAGCTAAACACTTGTCATGTTTACATGTAACTATGCCATTAAAACTTCTGTTGCCTTTCATTTCAACTCCAGGAAACATTTCAATTGATGATGGTGAGGCCTGTTTTAAAAGGCAACACTGAGATTTTTTCCACCAAAAATATAATATAACCAAATGAAATATCATTGGACTTGAGAGAAGGATATGGAGATAATTGTAATGTCAAATATTATTGTAAGGCCGATGCCCATGACTACGCGTACGTCTCTGTGCATGGTTAAAAAGTCCCATCACATTTACATTGGTACGCTGTGGACTGGACCTAGTTTTATAATCCAGTATTCTTCTTGTTCATTACCGAAAGGTTACTCAGCAACGGACAATTTGTGTGGTGATAAATCTTTTCGAGAATTCTAATCCTTATTGACAAACTAGAATAATCAGGTAAATTAAAATGTTTGTATAAAAGCTGCTGACCTCCATACTTAATTTGAAATTGATGACCTGATATTCTTTAATTAAGCGATCCCTTAGTTTCACCAACATAAACAAGTCCAAACAGATTACATTATATTACATAGATAACATTAAAAGATTTACAGTTCAGATTTTCCCAAGTTTTGGTATATATAGAAGTTCTGTCCAATAAGATTACTGGTGAAAGAAGTGTCAGTTACAATGTTTCAAAATGTCGCAGGTTTAACAATTTATAATGAGGACCTTAGATAACTTATTTTGAAACAGATTCCAAAAACCCTAAATGAAAACGAGGTGAAATATGACATTTTATCAATTTAATATGAGAGGTAGAGTGACCATTGGTGACTACCAGCGATAATCAGCAACAAATTAAAGATGCTCACAAAGTTGCAGAATCATATTATAAAATAAAAATAAAATCACACTCAAGACGGCAATTTCAGAGTTGTGTTGAAACGAAGCATCGACAAATTTAACTGCAATAGACAGCAAGCATCTTAGCATTTTAGATGTGCTCTAGTAAATGTTACAGAACGGATGTATCAGTTAAACGTACTCAGTAGTGCGTTAGTAATTTTGAAATGATAGTTATATAACAGAGTGTTAGGAAGTAAATACATGCAGATTCTCAAGTAAGAAAAGTGGTTCATGCTCTCATAAAACTGTTGAAAACATTACATTGTCCTTTTGAATTGAAATAAGTCTTAATTTCCTTAACCCAGTGGATGGACTTTATAAGAGAAGTCGTGTTAAAATAATCATTTCACTTATATAATTTTGATTATTTCGATTGCTTGAATCGTATTAAATTATTAGCAACATCATCTAAAATCAGCACCTGTATTCTAATTCATAGCCCCCCCGAAAGCCAGGTACTTTGATGAAATTCAATCGTATAAGCTATGTTTAGAAGGGAAATTTTCAATGCTAGGGAAGGAAATATGATAATCTATGTATATTAAATTACTTTAAACCTACTTTTATTCGCGTGCTAGAAATCTTCACGAAGTTCTCGAGAGCATCGTCATCGTGAATATATCTCGCCGCGAACCGGTCCTTTATGTCTATATGACAATTAATAAAACGTCCAAAAAAGGCTTGATCGCGAAAATTAATCGTTACGAACTAGTTTATTTACTGTAAGCCGTCGCAAATAAAATTTGGTTCACGAAATTACTTTTATTAGCTGTGGACATGAAATGCAAAGAACAATTAAATTTAACAAGCCCCTGGATTTGAAAAAAAAGAAACAGATTTGAACATTTAAATAGCACAATAGCTTTTGAGATATTTCTACCAAGTCCATATGCATAAATATTAAAAGAGTTAAAGCAAATATAAAGTATAAGATGTTACATGCTCCATTTTTAGTAAATCATGTCAAAATTGTTCTGAAACTATTTGGATATAAACTGCAGTCCTTGTTTAAGCTGAATAAAAGCAATGCATAGAAAATCAAAGTTAAATACACTCCGATTCTTTATGAGCAATAAATAGCAATTACATCGTTTTTTCACGATGACAATGTATACAAGTTTTTGTTTTGTCAGAAGATAATTTTTTCATTTGATAATGTTTCAACTATAGAACATAAAAGTGAATTTCATTTATGTTTTATTTTTAATTCCAAAACATTATATATAAATGACATTTTTTTTATAACTTCCTCGTTTTTTTTTTCATTATTATTATTCAGTTAGAAATTGTGTCACGACTCGTAAATAGACATACGCCATATTTGATTTAATTACAGTATCTAAGTTATACGCATCAGAATATCTCGATCCATCGTTAGACCTCACTGCTTTTTTGTCTAAATTTGTAATCTAGAAGCTTGTATACTAGTGCATATTATAAGTTGAGCATACTGAAAATTAAAGCTGATAAGACTACAGTTTTTTTAAATCCATAGACTTGAATATATATATAATATATAACAAAATTGAGACATGATTATCTGCAAGTGCAATTGTATAAATTTGTTTCCCCCGAAAAATGACCCGTCTTACAATTACAATCAGGTTGTAAAAAAATCATCTCAGGAGATTTTTTGTTGTAATTTTTAGACGAATAACTAACATGTACATGAAAATAAAGGGTATAGTACATGTGGTAATTGAAAATTGTAATAAAAAAGGCAACGCAAATGTGTTCAGGGCCATTTTAAAAGATGTTAAAGGCATTTAAAGCGAAATAATTGGACGGGGATGTTTTGTTTCAAGTGGTACACTTAACTGAATCCACATTCATAAACAATTTTCAAATAAGAAGTTATTCTGTTCTTTGCAAAAATGACAAAATGGGATTTTATGATGGAATGTAAGTAGATGTTTTCATATCCAATTTTTACGAAATAATTAAAGGATCAAAACAGATCTTACATGGGCCTAAAATGAGACTAATGAATGGGAAACACGTATAAACATATGTTTAAAAACTGAGTTCTGATATTTTTTATTCCATCTGTAAAGTCAATTTAATGTATATAATAAACATTTGTTGGAGAAATTACTACAATGCAAATTATAATGTTAATGTTAATTAATATAATATTCATATATTGATAGACTGATATTTACAATAAATTGTTTTAATAAATGGCCAGAAGATGTTCAAATTGATAGCTCTTTAAGTTCTAGAACTAGTTTATATTTAAGTAATTTCCTCAAAAGGACCATACGAAGTTGTTGAATATAATGTCCCTGTTTATTTTCGTTTTATAATGAATTAAAATGGAGATTTTATTTCTTTGAGTTTATCAAATAAGTAAACACAACTCAGATTGGACATCCTTATTCGGAGTTTGGCTTGACAAGCAAGGATAAAGTGTATAAAAATACTGTTAACAAATTGCGGAAGATAATAAGCCGCTTGTTGTAGGAAAATGAACAAAGCGTATTGAAAAAAACCCAAACACACTGATGTATCCGTGGCATCTAGTGGTGAAGGTTAAAATTATTCAAATATAAGTCAAAATCCGAAAAGATGTGATAAAAAAAAATGATACCAACAGAAAGGATACAAAGAAAGTATCTGTGAAAAAAGTTAGGGCACAACCATATCAAAGAAGAAGGTATGGTTTCCATACAAATTTTGCCTTGTGATTTTCTAAAAAATGAAACTGGTGTAAAAGTTGAAAACTCATGCTTTTTAAATAATTGAAATTCAATGCAGAAAAATTATACAAGTCATTTTTCTCACATGTGTTTTTAAATGCTAATTATGACGTCATAAACAAGTGCATTTTCCCGTATTTTCTTAAAAAGTTGCAGAAGACAGCAATTTTCAATGGAATTTTCTTTCAGATAAGATTGTCCACAGGCATCGCCCACAAAGATCTTGAGATATGTGATTTGTTATTGAATTTTGCACAAAATATCAAAAAATTAACGTGGGCGGCGGCTGTGGACACTGTTTTCTAAAGGAAAATCACCCTTGAAATGTGCCATTTTGAGGCTTTTTCTGTTGAAAATAGAGAAATGCTTCACATTAATGACGCCATATTTGCAGAATGGTAAACCTTCATGTCATATTCTTTCCTGATTTATCAGAGTCATTTATCTAACTAATATTTAAGCCAGTTTCAAAACTTTTTGATGTCATTACATTTTTAGGGCGCAAAAAAGCTAAAACTATACCTTCTTCTTAAACGCAAAGGATTTAACTGTAAATTTTTTTTACCTCAAAGTCAAGGTCAAAGGGTTCTGAACTAAAAGCTTTTGTCACAAGGAATAACGTGTTACATACAAAAGGCCTATCAAAATCATTTAAATAGTGAACAATATTTAAAGTTTATTTTTAAAAAGAAGACAAAACATCAAGGTTAAGGTAAAATACACTTGTAGTCAATAATGTATTTGGCTAAGAGATGGCCTTATCACAAGAAATAAAACTGTTAAATATAAAGTCCCATTTTTTTCAAAACTTGTGACAAAGATAATAAATTAATTAAAAGTAGACAAAACTCCAAAGTCATTGTCAAAAGCTATAGAATAGTGTTGTACCTTAGTCCTTATAACCAGAAATATGTACCTGTAAAGAATGAAACCATACTACTATTCGGTGAAATGGCAAGATTGAAGTTTGATACGTGTTTGCAAAAGTGGATCACATTGCAAGGTGAAGAGATCTAATATGTTCTATTCCCAAAAAGGTCTTAATTGCTACAATGAATATACTTGTAAATATAACCATTGCTTTATACAATAAAATGATGTGGAAAAAACTAAGGTCTTTGCGGGTAGGTAGACAGACAGACAAACGGACAGACCCCTAAAAACGCATTGGTAATAAGGAAGCATACAAATTATTCAACCAACAGGGGCCTGTAACATACTGTATTTGATTTTACATAATCACTATATGTATACAAAAAGAGAAATGGAAACGTCAGCTCGAATTTACATAGGGTCGATCTCGGAAATGACTCGTGTTTTCAATAAAATACCTTTGTTACAACGCACTTTGAAAAATTACGCACTTTGAAAAATTTTTTCAAAGTGCGTTAAAATTTGGGACCAAGCTAACGCACTTTGAAAAAAATAATTTTATTTCAAAGTGCGTCAATATCGAGCATATTAACGCACTTTGGAAAAAAATGTAAAGATTGATCAATATTCTCTCAAATAATTGGTATGATAAATAACAGATCCTAGTTTGATAACTTTTTTATGATAAAGTCACTGTAGGACCTGAGATATTGACGTTTGAAATATTTAAAGTTTTGATAAAATAAAAGGGAAAATTAAATTAAAGGGTCTTGAAAAAAGGAGTGACGACTGTTTAAGTTCATTAATTCGTTTCTTCTTTTTTTTTAAATTCTAGTCTTTGATAAGTAGATGTAAAGGTGTAGAGGGGGCACTAACAGGGGACAGCTTCAAGCAACTTAGCATTTATCATTATAAAAAGGGGCCAATTTGATTGTTCAAAACTATGAAAATTCTTTCTCTCTCATACGTTTTACTGTATTTAAAAATTTCTAGTTTTCATCTCTTTTAATTAACTCATTTATTATTGAAAGTTTTCAACGTCATTCCAGTTAGGTAAATACATCATTATATGAATGCCTTGAGTATAGCATAGACATCGAGACTGGGCGAAGGGCAAGGGGAGGGTATGGGGGCTAAGCCCCCCACTTATTTTGGAAAGATATATGCATCGTATAAGCATTGAAAATGCAGCGTACCATTTTTAGGTTTATTGCATCCCTCCCCCGTTTGTTACGGACACCGATGTTTTGGAAAGATAAAGATTTGGACTCAGGGATCTTATACCCGCTTCTCCTCTTTTCGACGGGAGTAAATCAATTCATTTTTGAGGTTGGGATCAGGCTTAGTTTTTTGAAAGATAAATAAATATAATCGTTCCATGACTAAAATATGTTTTTTTTTCAAAGTGCGTTAAGTGTCTCCATAGTAAAATATATTGATGTAGACTCTTAACGCACTTTGAAAAATTTTTTCAAAGTGCGTTGAGTTGGTCCAAAATTTAACGCACTTTGAAAAAATTTTTCAAAGTGCGTTGATTTTGTCCCAATTTTAACGCACTTTGAATAAATTTTTCAAAGTGTGTAATTTTTTCAAAGTGCGTTGCCACATACCTTGCAGTTAGTGAAATAACGTCTGTGATCATTCAGTAATAATCACTCTTTCATAAAAATACCATCACGGTCATTTAAGAATCGTGTAAGTCGTGTTTTGCAGATCCTGTCATGCAAGTGATGTAGTTTAAGTCGTCCATTGCATCCAATATTTAACGCGAGATGTGATTGATCAATGGTGCTTTTCTAGAACAGATCTGACCAATTACGCTCCGCCTTTTACCAATCATGTTTTTCCCAAAATGTCGTCTGTTCTGGGCTCGAGCCTCTCTGTGAACGAAAAAAGCTACCGTATTTATTCAAATTGGAGATGTTGTACCTTTTAATTGCAATTAACAAAAGAAAAAAATGATTTTCGTGAACGCTGGATCTTTACTTTTTATTTTCAATCTTCGGAAAGACTTCAAAACTGGAGAAAATGTGCGAATTTTGTCTCGTTTTAGTGGACGACTTAAAGTGCATCAACTCGCACAACGGAATATCGAGTTAGTATTACCCAACTAAAACGCTATAAAAAGTAACGAGGTTTCCGTTTTTTATTTTAAAGAATTTTTATTGTAGTACATGTATGATTTCTGGTTATAATCTAATTGGCTACATTCTTTTTCTATGAAATACGAAATATTTCCGAGATCGACCCCGTGTAAATTCGGGCTGACGTTGTTTCCCTTTCCCTTTTTGTATGTATATAGTGATTACGTAAAATCAAAAACAGTATGCTACCGGCTCCTGTGAAATCAGTGCTACATTATGACGTCACAGTAGGCGAGATGACGCTAATCTTAAGGAGGAACAGGACCTTCGGCTGAAAAAATTCCTGTCAATGAATTTTTTTCGTATTTTTTATATTACTGATTTAATATGTACTTATCATTTTAAAAGGGTCCTGTCATGGGATTTCTTGACCTATTTAAAAGATATTGCCCCACACATACCGCCCTGTGTAGAGTTTGTATGGAGTTTAGATACTTCATGTAAAGGATCAATGTGATAGATAACACTATATACTCAAATATTTCATAATATTCATAGTGTTTAAATTATCTTAAAGCAATTGTTTTAATTTTATATGGTATTTGGGTGGGATAATTTCTGCATTTTTCAAGGCAGCTTCAACGGCAAAAAACCTCATTTTGAAAAAAAAATTCTGTCAATAAATATTTCTAAATTTACAATTGAATGTCAGTCCTTCATCGTAATAATTTACTGCATAGATATTTAAGGGAGAAGCTAACTTCAATATCGCATAGGACGATTGAATAGACGTAAGCATGATAAAAACGCTTGACGTTTTGTATTTTCCGAGTGCGGGAAATCAATTGTGACGTCACACGAAAATATAAACATTCAAAATTATCTAAATAGATTGAATCTCTGCTACTAAAGACAAAAAAATATTAATTCTAAAAAATCTGCTTCAGAAATTTATCACGATACATTTACTGTGACCTATTTATTATGAAATAAAACTGATCATGACGGGTATGTGTACTTGATCTCGCTGCACTGAGAATTCAAACACTACGTCTATGACGTCACTGACGTCACATTGCAGGGTGAAGAGAAAATATATGCATTTGTGGTATCTCTCCATTATATAAACATATATACAGAGAGAAAATATCTTCAATTCTGTATGAAGTTTGTCAGAGGTCAGAGGTCAATACGTGACCTAATCACACGGCGCAATAATATAGATCTACCGGTACATAAATTATGAAATGACCTGCTCTACTTGCTTTTCATGTATAAAAATCAACAAAATAAGCAAGTAAAATGATAATTATTTTATTTGAATGTAATCAAGTATTTCATACAGTTTTTGAGCTATCGATTCAACCTGTGTACATAGAGAAAACTAGGACTCCTAGTAGGAGCCTAGCGTTTCTTTACATTTTTCTTCACTTTTGTCAGCTACACAGTCTCTAACGTTGATCTTTATTTTTTGGGTAGACCTTTGGTTAAATTTTCATGATAAACTTTCATCTTTAAATTTTACTCACGATAAATGTGTAAATCTGTTGATAAATATCATTGCAATCATGCCATGAACAGCTGCCAAACACCTCGGCGTTTTCGTAGTTCAATGTAAAGCTGTCGCCAGTGTCTCCGTGTTCATTGTCATATATGAATCATTTGTTGTACGACTTGATTGTTACTTTTGTATCTTCGTAATAAAAAGAGTTCCAATTAATATGGCGTCTTAGTATCATGAAACACAACATTTATCAGTGTTTTACGATAAGTATGCCTCTAGTTACTGAAAACGTAGAATGTTTTTGATCAAATTGCAAATTAACTGGCTAGGACAACTGTCTAAATCCATCGGATCCATCCATCCCTTTCCGGCGCAGAAATTCCTCCAACTTTTTATCATCAAACTTCGGACGTGTTTCTTGTGTCTTTTCAGCATCGATTATCATTTTTCACGAATAAAAATATTCCCAGACAACAATCTGTTCACTATTTCTGATCACAAGCAGCCTTTCACCAAATATTCCCTTCGAAATAGATTCCTTAGTCTAATGCATTCGAAGCGTAACCGCCATGCAAGCCGATATACACCTTGCGTCATTTTTCAAAATCTACGACGGACGTTTAGTGCAATAATTTAAATTTGAAAATATTCAATTGTTTGTCTGAAATGTAAATATAAGTAATAAATAACAAGTTTATAAACTTCAATGGGAATTGAAGTGGGTCGATACGTGCTCAAATCTTCTGAGAATGCCTTCGGCATTCACAGGATTTGATCACGTGACCGACCCACTTCAATTCCCATTGAAGTTTATAAACTTGTTATTTATTTCTTAACAAATGTGTGGATTGGGCAACTTCACAATATCTAAATGATGGCAATATCTTTAAAAATTTTGTTAATTATTATTTCTAAACTAAATGTTTAAAAAACAATTTTCAAATTTAGAATAAAATCACACAAGATATGTTGATTTTAACAACGTTATAACATGTATATCATCACCGATTGTGACATGATATGTCTTTTTAGTCATGTGACATGTGTCCTGTCTTCCCTTAAAACACAAGTTCTCGTAAAATTGGTATTTAGACATGTAATTATACTCTAGAATAGGAATTGAAAAGTGTAAACATTAATAAAATTTACATGTTTTTAGTTTGTTATGCTGTATCTGTCATTTTGATTAAAATCTACCTCCAATGTCCTCGTATGTGTACATCAAGTAACTTGGGAATTGATCATGTCGTGTAAAGAGAATTTAGCTAAAACGGCATGTACAAAGACATGTAAAATGGGGTTTAAAAGAAAATATCATGAATATTATGTGAAATTGATATGGAATCAGTAAATTCATCAGGCATGCAAATTTATTTTTATCGATTATATTCTCTCTCGAATACAGCCATCTATATACGTATCCCGGTCGGCCTTTCCTCTGTCCTTCCTGACAAAAATAATGCAACAGAGCAACAATAAGCTGGATATTTCAAAACATGAGAATTATACTGATAAACTTGGAAAGTGCTACTAGAATCCCAAGTTAAGCATGATTTTACGAAAAATCTCGGTTCATATGTATTAAATTCAAAGCATATATGGTAAGGTTTCGTGCAAATGTGTGGAATAATTATTTTACTGACAGAACAGTGGGATTCTAGCAGCACTTTTAAGGCAAAATAAATGTTTTTCAACTACTGTACATCACTTTTTATTTCGCGAGAACTTTATTTTCGCGTAATTACGCGAGACGGTATGCTAGCGAAAATTTAATTCTCGCGTATAATAGTATTCCTTAAGATAATATACAGCAATAACCACAATTCGTGAAAATATTGTCTCGCTAATCAAGAGTCAATGACTATCTGGCGAAAATAAGGTGTCGCGAAAATTAAGTGATCTACATAGAGAATATTACATACTAAAATACCTTACTTTCTTTAAAAAGTATATTTTTTTCCGAGAAATGACTTATACGCTTCCTTAACATACCTGCGAAGTCAAACGTCGGTTGATGGAATCAGGTAATCATCTCCCGTGAATCCGAACCCCTATGTATTGATCGAGTAGACGAAACATTCCATAATGATCTTTTGTACAAAAGCAAATGGCTATTAAGCAATAAAGTCAGCAACAATGCGGCAGAATGATAGCTTATGTCCTCTATCAAGGTCTTTATAACTACCCTAGAATTTTTACGAAGTGTTTAAATCACTGCAAAATGAACTCAGTAATTTGTGAAAAACTAACTCAATTAAAAATTGGTAACACTAAGAGCATGCAGTTCTTGAGTATTTAATACTCTGAGAGTGTGACCATAATCATGTTTACTATAGAAAAATTTATTATTGATAATACTAAGTGTAACATTAAAATTTGTTAACGCTTCTGAACCAATCAAATTTTAAGTTGAACATGTTGAAAATGTGAAAAAATAACTTATTATTGAAATTGTGTACATATTTTCAGGTTTGCTTCATTCCCTGCTTTTGTATTATGGATATTCTGCATACGATATTGACAGGTTTGTTTTCAAAATAGAGACTGAAGTATAATATGTATGATACTATGTATACAAGTTTAAGACACGATAAATCACGATAAAACAATTGTCATTTTCTTAAATATTCTCTCAAAATTCTGTCCTAAACACCAGTGACCGTAAGTACATATCAACAATTACCACTTCATTTTATCGTTCCCCTGTACGTATGTGATTTATTATGATGTGTCTACAAATAGTATATAACATAGTCGCCTGTACGTGGTTGATTAGGTAGGAGTCGCGAGGTTAGGCGTTGATTGTTACGTTACGGTTTGATTCTACGGCCAGTTTCGGAGACTGTTCCTTTTGATTTCACTTTATAAAATCGAGATACAGTGTCTAAATACATGTAGGTAAGTAATAATTACTATTGGCGTTTCAATATTAGTGAAAAGCATATCAACCTCGCACTTCGATATAACTTTTTAAATGCTTCATAATTATGTTTTCTTTTAAAAAAAAAATCAAGGCATAAAGATTTACAATCGGAACATCACTTGGCCTGACGGAAAAGGCCGAGTGGCGTTCTGATTAGTCAGCCCGCGGACTGACTAGATATGATACTGTCACAGATGAAAATGAACCATCGGACATTTTGACAATTACTTTGGATATTAACAATATTAAATTCTACATATCTGTAATTAATTTAATTAGTTGTCACAATTGCTTCAACATGTCAGATTTATCTATTCTGAAATATTTAATTTCTTAATTAGGCATGAGTGATATGACCAGATGGACTGTGCTTTGAGTTACATGATTATTGTTTATTTAAAATCATAATCTAAAACTGTACTTGTAAATCAAATTAATTCATGTCATATAATACTCAAACTTGGGAATTATCACCAATGTCTATAAATACAAAGTTTTGCTAACATTCGGAGAGTTGGAATCGGGACGCACTTGTCCTTGATACTGTCCGACCCGACGACAAATAAAGGTCTGCAAATCGTAAAGCGGTTTTATCTTCATTTACTAAATAGTCCACATCACACCCTCGCGTTGCAAAGCCAGTAGGGTGGACGAATAATGGTACTATATAATGATTGTTTCGTTTTAGTGGGGTTTGCCTGGAGACACCCTTTTATTTTGCATTAAGAGGAAGACCGTGCTGGTTTACTTTGACAGAGGCAAAAGTCTGGTTTGAATCAGGTAATTAATATGCTGTACAGTTATAGTGTAAGGGTTGTCTAGTAAAATCCTGGACAAAGAGATTTAATAAAAAGAATTAAGCGGTCTTAACTGAGAGAATTAGCTCAATTATTATCCTATATCTTACCTTTAAGCGATTCCTTAAATGATATGAATCCAAAATATTTTACAAGTAATAGAAATAGATACCTTTAGTCCTATACATTGTTATATTAAGAAGAACATTTGTATAAAAGCAATGTCTTGTTGCCATTAAAAAATAAGAAGCAACATCTATATCTACATCTACATTGTGTAGCCGTCCGGAATTAGACATGGAATTGTTCTTGGGTCACATGATCAATGTTAATAGGACATAAATATATATCCAGTCTCTTTAAGAAATGTTTACTTATCAAAATTTAGACAAAAATATTTTCTATATTATTTGAATATGTACACGATACATGTATGGTCTTTCTGTGCACGATAAAAAAAATGCAGGTTTCATTAGCGAAAACACGGGTATTCTTTGGAAATGAAAATATAAATTACATTCATAATGACTTATGTCGTCATTTGGACAATTTCAAGCTTAACTTTTGACGATTTCCCGAGCAGATGAAATGAGTAAACAGTTAACACTACATAGAAAAAATGGCGACGTTTCACGATTTCTTACGTTTTACCATTCATTTCGAAATACTAATGACATCCTTAAAGACTTAAAATGACTACAGCAGAAAAAAAATATTAAAAATATAATATCACTAGACCTTACGTATAGAGCTAAATTGGAGTATTATAGGCGGTATCTTTTTAATCGAGTCCGCGTGTAGAAAAAAAACCATTCGTACAAACAAATACTGGCAATAACGAAAGACGTTGATGTCACTGTAGACCATCGATGTAAAATTGCCTATTTTGTTAACTGATAGTGAGAATAATGTCCATAACTTAGTAATACATCTTCAGAAAGTTCTATATGTATGCAAGATTGAAGGGAAACTAGAGTATGATGACTATAAATGAATCCGAATTTAAGTGGGGCTTATCCACTGTGGCAACGCACTTTGAAAAAATTACGCACTTTGAAAAATTACGCACTTTAAAAAAAATTCTCAAAGTGCGTTAAATTTTGGACCAACTCAACGCACTTTGAAAAATTTTTTCAAAGTGTGTTAAGAGTCTACATCAATATATTTTACCATGGAGACACTTAACGCACTTTGAAAAAAATCGTATTTTAGTCATGGAAAGATTTTATTTGTTATTTATCTTTCAAAAAACTACATGTAAGCCTAACCCTAACCTCAAAAATGAGTTGATTTACTCCCGTCGAAAAGAGGAGAAGACGGGTATAAGATCCCTCAGTCCAAATCTTTATCTTTCCAATACATTGGTGTCGGTAACAAACAGGGGAGCAATAAATCTTAAAATGGTACGCTGCATTTTCAATGCTCATACGATGTATATATCTTTCCAAAATAAGTGGGGGGCTTAGCCCCCCCCCCCTCCCCTCCCCTGACCCTTCGCCCAGTCTCGATGTCTATGCTATACTCAAGCATTCATATAATTATGTATTTACCTAACTGGTATGACGTTGAAAACTTTCAATAATAAATAAGTTAATTAAAACAGATGAAAACTAGAAATTTTTAAGTAAAGTAAAACATATGAGAGAGAAAGAATTTTCATAGTTTTGAACAATCAAATTGGCCCTTTTTTATTTTGATAAATGCTAAGTTGCTCGAAGCTTTCCTCTGTTAGTGCCCCATATAAACCTTTAAATCTACTTATCAAAGACTAGAATTAAAAGAAAAGAAGAAACGAATTAATGAACTTAAACAATCATCACTCTTTTTTTTCAAGATCCTTTAATTTTCCTTTTTATTTTATCAAAACCTTAAATATTTAAAACGTCAATATCTCAGGTCCTACAGTGACTTCATCATAAAAAACTTATCAAACCAGGATCTGTTATTTATCATACCGATTATTTGAAGGAATATTAATAAATTTTTACATTTTTTTCAAAGTGCGTTGATGTGGTCGATATCAACGCACTTTGAAAAAAAAAAAAAAAAATTTTTAAGTGCGTTAGCTTGGTCCCTAATTTTAACGCACTTTGAAATTCTTTTTCAAAGTGCGTAGTTTTTCAAAGTGCGTTGTAACAATCCACCCTTTAAAAAAAAAGAAGAACTTTGACGCTGCTTTAGACACTTTGACGTTATCATCTGTGCGTCGTAAGGCAATACATTGCAATGTAAAATCTCATTTGTGTTAGCAATATATTCATTTGAAATTTGCTAGATTTTCAAAATGAAATACTAATATATACTAAAAAGAAGTGAACATTTTAAAACGAAGCTATGATTATTTTTTTACTCTAGACAAAATTTTCACGAATTTACCGGACAACCCTCGTACATACAAATGGAATCCAAGAATTTAAACGATGAAAAATCATTACATTTATATATGCCTAGAAAGTCATATTTACTTAAAAATCATTTGGCCATTATTCATAAGGTCGTTTTTTTGTACGACAGCCAACTGAGCTCATTTTCGAAGGTAAAAAAAAATCGTGTTATAACGCGAAACTTTCGCGATATAACTCGCAACTTTCGAGAATAAACGCGTAACTTTCGCGCTTTAACGCGAAACTTTTACGATATAGCACGTAACTTTCGCGAATAAACGCGAAACTTTCGCGAATGAACGCGAAACTTTCGCGATATAACTCGAAACTTTCGCGAATAAACGCATAACTTTCGCGCTATAACGCGAAACGTTTGCGATATAGCACGTAACTTTCGCGAATAAACGCGAAACTTTCGCGTTTTAACGAGAAACTTTCGATAAACGCTAAATTTTGCGAATAAACGCGTAACTTTCGCATTATGTCGGTATTGTGACGGTAACGATGGATTCACTGGCAAGAAAGCAAAAAATTTATCTTGTGATAGTCCAAGATCAAAATAGCCTTTTGCTTATCATTGTAATGGATAAACTTGATGACAAAATCAAAAGAAAATTGAAATTAAAGCAAATTTCTGGATAAACAGCAAAGATTTCGCGTTATAACACGAACGTTACGCGTTATAACGCGAAAGTAACGCATTATAACGCGAAAGTTACGCCTTTATTCACGAAAGTTTCGCGTTATAAAGCGAAAATTACGCGTTATATTTCGAAACTTTCACGTTATATACGCGTAATATCGCGAACGTTGCGTGTTATAACACGAATTTTACAAGTTTATTCGCGAAAGTTTTGCGTTATAACGCAAAAGTTTCGCGTTATAACGCGAAAATTACTCGTTATAACGTTATAACACGAAAGGTACGCGTTTATTCGCGAATTTTTTGCGAATAAACGCGTTAATTTTGCGTTATAACGCAAAACTTTCGCAAAATAACGCGTAACTTTCGCGTTATAACGGGAAACTTTCGCGAATAAACGTGTTATAATGTTAAAATTTTTTTCTACCTACGAAATGAGCACACTGGGCTTTAGTACTTTTGAAATGCGAAGGGCATGAAAGGCAAGGATGCTCAAAATTTTTAAAAAGTCAGAGATTTGAACGATGGTGTTAAGTTAATCTCTGTTGAGATTCTTCAGGGCTAGATATTTAGACTTGACGCCCGCAGAATCTCAGGACAGTGTTCCCATGACGAAATAGTTTACCTCCTCGCATAAAAGAGTTCCTATAGTCTGCTTTTACCCTATGTGATTAGGAACTAATGTCTACTATGGCTATTGAACATCACATGAAAGATAACAGACTATAGGAAGTCTTTTATGCGGGGAGGTACACTATATCGCCAGGGAGCCTTATTTCGAACGGAGATTTCAGTGAATATTTTTATACATGTACTGGGATTTACCTGCCTAAGCGGTAAGCAATGTAGAAATAATAATGACAGAAAGCCAAATAAACAACCAAATGACTTAATTGAAGCGAACGGCAGTGTGGTCTAGGTGAAGTTTGGGCCTAGTCTCCAGGGGCTTGTTTCTCAAAAAGTCGTAGATTTGGGCCTAAGTTAGTCCGACTAAAAAACTGACGCCAAAATTTAGACGGGTCTAAATCGCGTTTCAGAAAGCGGCGTAAGACTGGGCCCAGTACTAGGAAAGAGAGCACCAAATGCCCGGATGAACACATGGCTTTGTTTGTGATGGAACATTAAACCGAATACTGAATGGGATGGCGTTACGCCATTGGCTGAAATCAGGTATTTAATTGTTTTCATTTTAAAGTAAAATTAATGACCTTTGAAATAAATGATGGGATGAGGGAATATTACAGAAACTATAGAAATACCAGGGAAGATTTTAGGAGTGGGGGTTGATTTTTTTTGCCGCGTGTTATTGACTGCGAATCTCTATAAGTTGAAAATAACTGCAATTTTGACCTATAAACGCAATGGGACCATATATTTTTTTCAGTATTTTTTGTTAGGGCTTAGAACAAAGTTTGAAATGATGCTAAAGATTTTTCTAAAATTGTCATAGTAAAGTACTGAGAGGGCCTAAGGTTTGTATGGAGTTCTATGGGAAAATAATTAGTGGTCTTTTCCCACTAAGACGTCTCCGCTAAGTACTAAGCATGCGCAGATCGCATTTTATTTGGTTTAGAGACTACAATGACATGCGGCGGATCAAAATAATATCACACTTGAACCTACATAAATGATGTAAAGAACTGGAAGCACGAGAACGCTTGCATGTTTTCCATTTTCACCGTCTTTTAAATAGATCTATTTTGCAAACCCATTTGTATTTTCAAGGTCAAAGCATTAACATAGCATCGGATTCAGAAATTTTGAAAAAGGGGCAGATTGGGGTCAGGTTAGGCGCCCACAGCCACACTAAAAAAAACTGATTGAGACAGAGTAAATCTTTTATTATAATTTTGGACACAGCCTCCCTCCCCCTCTACATCCTCAAGTGTTATATTAGATTTCTACATTAAAACCAAATGATGTAAATACATGATTACATGTATAAATATATGTACTTGCTAAATTTTGAAATAAAAAGTAATTTTCCTACATGTATATAAGAGTAAAAGTCATATATGGCTAGGCTGGAACAGGCTCGTAGCAAAAGTTTGAAAGTCGGAGGGAGGGGGGGGGGGCAACCGGTATCAGAACAAGTAACAGAACCCCCAACCATCAGACGTACTGTCAAAAATTTATCAGTTATGAAATCATAATTATCATAAAAAAATTATTAAAACATGGAAAAGAGAATGGTTCTAAAAAAAAAGATCAGACCTATATATGGTCTTCCTTGGTTCCCGTTTTTGTTAAAATTTAGACGTAAATAAACTTCAATGAAATTTATGTTTTGTGAAAGAATAAAAATTATATATTTAATTTATCTTTATATTGATTTAAGTCATATGCATAGAATTAAGGGTTTTAAATACATTAGTTTTAAACAAAACTTCAAAAAATGACATTTTTGACGCAGTTTAAGAGACGATTTAATATACGTGCGACCCTTCAACAAGGAAGAAATTTACACATGTAAAACATTTTCAGGATATGTGCCTAAAATGGCCCAAACCCATATACCGGTATAATTCTTTATATAAAATTTAAATATGAATTAGACATATATTGGCAATCTAGGTGATACATGTATACCTGCATTTATGATACATGTATTACATTTTGGACATACAGTTTTACATTGATATCGTTATGATAATTTACATAGACCATGTAGAAATAGTGCATAATTATGTACATACACCATTTGCATTATAACACACGCATTCTCAATTTTTATGGAAATATTTTAGAAATTTATAAAAATTACTAGATTTATTGCCTGCAATATTATTCACAAGAATTCGATTTAAAACTATTAAGCTTTTGCAAGCCATTAAGAAAAAACGATTAACCCATCTACACTTCTCACCTCTCGACAATGAGTGAACGGTCTTATGAACAGAATACTTTAAGTATATAATGCTCAAACATTTTACAAATTCATATTTTTATGTTTAAATAATATCATATTTAAATTAAAATACATACAATTAAAGGGGATAATTAAAGAAGTACTGACTTGGTTGATGGCATATTTATGAAATATTTCTCATTATCTGAAATATATTTTTAAAAATGATTTTTGTTTAAGGATTTATTGAAACATTATTCATTAAAAAATTAGCTGGGACCTGACATCGTTTTTAAAAAAGTGAATGGGGATGGGGGAGGGGGAGGGGGAGGGTAAGTAATTGAGTGACCAAAATATTCAGCAGAGAATAGAAATGCTGAAAGTGGGCGTTAGCCCATGAATTAAAAACAGAAAACACATTATTTCAATTAAAAAAAAATTGGGTTGCAGACCCCCCCCCCATCCCACAACGCGTGCATACATTTTTAAAAATAAAATCTGACACTTCTTAAATTTCTACCCAACTTGAATTCAAAATTCTTAATTACAAATTTTTAGTTCATCCCAACTTTTGCGGAAAAAATTTGCATCTCTACTTGTCTACATAATCTTACATGTATAATTATGTTGTTTATTATTGTTCATGACTTTTCGCATATCATATAGTTATGTGCGTGTATATGAATAGGTATTTTATTGCATAAGTATAAAATAATTATTTTTTAACTCTTTATGATTAAAACACTTGCCCTTTTCCCAAGATGTGTACAGACAAAGAACTTACGCCTACTCATGAGCAGGCCTAGATTTAAACCAAAATTTAGTCTCAACTAAGTCTCCGCTTTTTTGTGAAACGCAACTTAGTCCGACTTCCGGGTTTACTGACTGATTTAGTCCGGACTAAGCTTACGCCTGGTCGTAGGCCTTTTTGAGAAACGAGCCCCTGACGTGAATTATGAGTGACTGTCCAGAGATTCTGCGGGCGTCAAGTCCAAATATCTAGCACAGCAGAATCTCAACAGATTAGAATAAAGTTAAACAATCAGTCGCCTAATCTTTATTTACCTTGTAAGATAAAAATTATGAAAAATTTTCTTTATTTTATATCGTGTTTATTTACAAGAAAATAAGTCAACCTGTTTATAAAAGAATTTTATACATGTATGTTAACTGATTTATGTTTGGAAATTACATGTAGATTACTTTTTTCTTTAGCTCTCCTTAATTTTACAGAAATCGGCGATTGTCCTAAAAAATGTCAAGTAAAAATCAGCAACTTAGAAAATGAGGCATGGAGTCATTATCACAAATTGAATTACACACCCCACTATCAGCTGAATTCATTAACACTTAGATTCAATGGTTTAAGTGAGAATTTGACGATAATCAAGACGAGCTGTACTTCTTTGTATACAAAAAGAAGGAATTTGAAAATAATTTGCGGATCAGATTTTGACAAAGGTAAGCTTGAATATAACTGTATGTGTTACCTGAACTATAAATAAGACCGTTTAGGTCCTTTAGCCTATTGTTATTATTTTTTTTAGCAGTAGACGACTCAAAAGACTTATGTACATCAACTAAAAAGTGCGAAGATGAAAAAAAGATATGTTCCTTGAAAGGACAGATCGGTGTCTGTGTGTGCAATCCTGGATATATCGGAATAGAAAACGAATGTTTGCAGGGTAAATAGTGAAAAGCATCATTAATTATTATTGTTAATTGAAAAGAAGAAAAAAAAAAATCATTATTCTAAAAATTAACCATTTTCAACAAAACAAAATTTATACATTTTAACACGCAGGGTTTTCCAAGTTTTTTGCGTGCAAATTTTGTGCTACAATAAGATTTACTACAAATCCCTTTAAGATCTAACCAAAACTCAGTCTTATTTATCGAATGTATCTTTTACAATTTTAAATGCAGAGTACATGTACATCATTTAGAATAAATTAGGGCAAATTGTCTGGCTTGACCTTGCTAATTATATCTTAAACATTCGCTGGGCATTAAGCATGAATAAAACAGAAAAATCATGTGTTTTAACGCCCCAATGTAACTGAACCAAGATGTGTTTGTGAAATTAAAAAGAAGCCCCCATTAAGCAATTTATGGCAAAATATGAAGTTTTGCAATCAAAGTTAAACTCAAATGTGAAATCAAGAGATCAAAAGTGTTATTACCCAGAGAAAGAACTTTTATCAAAGAATATACGTACGAAATATGAAAGCTTTAATATAAGTATTCAAAAGTCAATACCAAGATTATTATTAAATGATCAGGAATTTTGGTGCTCTCTGATTGGTCTAGACGCCATTTACTGGTGTGTACCTCAGAGCGAGTTCACCTCAAATGACGCTCTGGGAGGTTTATTCGGGTTTTCCCTCTCGACCAACCATAGATTTGCTTACAGCTTTTTCGACCAATCAGATTGCGTGTTTCAAAGCATGTGTCGGTGTGAATGTAAACATGTCAGACGCCATTACCAAGGAGATTAAGAACGTTTGAAAGTAAAAGGTTGAGTATTTATTGTTTATTAATATTGTTTTTAACTTTTTAACTTATATTTGTTTAGCTGTTGAAGTATATCAACATGTAAAAAGTGTAATTACACTTTAAATTATGGATGTTTATATCTGATGGAGACAAGAATGAAAGAGTCAGCAGTGTTGTAAAATTCCTCATCATTTAATAAAACGGTTATTGACTTTTGAATTCGGTCTACTCATGACTATACAGACCTGGTCAGGTATTGGTTAACCTCGGCCTTCGGCCTCGGTCAACCAATACCTGACCAGGTCTGTATAGTCACGAGTAGACCTCATCAAAAGTCAATAATTGTATAAAGTTCCTTCCTTTAAAGTGTATCAAACTCAAGGGTCAAGGTCAAAGAATCAAAATTAATGGTATAACGAGGGATAAGAAATAAGTATAAGAAATAGAAAAGACCTTAAACCGCCTGTTTAAATGTTATGGCCAAGTTAAGATTAAATTTAACAAAAGTAGTGCAAGGTCAAAGTGTCAAAACCTATATTCAAAGAAGGGCCTTGTCACAAGAAATACACTTATATAAAAAATATGAGATTAAAAGCTCAAACAAAACAAAAGTTATTGGTATTACTAAGATTATTTCTTAACAGTCTCTAGAACAGTGTTTGAGTAAAAAATCACATGTTTATTACATGTTATTATTACCTAATTATTATTTAACATATATTTTTGTATGTTAAAATATTAAATCCATTCCTTTTTTAGTATATAAAGTTATTTTTCATTCAAAACCGATCAGATGAATTATGAAATATTAATATTAATTTGTAAGGGTTGTAGACATAAAGATTGAATGATTAACCGAAATTCCATCTGCTCTTCGATGTATGTGTGAAATGTAAAATAATCTATCAAGCTTTAACAATTAGAATTTACAGATACATTTGTAGATATTGACTTTTAAATATGTTTTATTTCTTTCAAGTTATGTGTATATTGGGAGGGATACAGATGACGAGGTTTGATTTGATAATATATATAAGTATATATATTTTTATGTACAATATTAACATATGCAATTTATATCTTTGTATGAGATAAAATAACAAATTTTAGTTAAAATACTTTATTCCTACAAAAATCTAACGGTTCATCAATAAACACGATTAAAAAGAAACTCCTGCGGGCGGAGGGTAGAGGGACGGACAGAAGCAAATAGAGACAGAAGAAGCTTGGCATGTAGTACATACTTTTTTGGAATCAAAGCATGTAACAGGTCTGGACGATTTCTAAATAAGGAAGTCAAGAACGATAACCTTGAATTGCTATTAATACACAGAATAAACAAGGCACTAATCCTTCTGACCAATCAGATAACAGCATTTAGACAAACCCATGAGAGAATAAATAAAACACGTGGCTTTTACGTTTTTTGCTCAAAAGATTTTTTTTAGAACAAACTTTATGTAAACTTTATGCGCATTCGGGAATAATATTATATTTATGACAATTCTACCGTGAACAAACACGACTTGAAAGCTTGGAATACGTTTTAAGTGGGATAAAAAAAAATTGTCTCTAGGAGTAAGCAATCCGAAAAGTTTAATTACGTTAAAAAATTGATATAAATACGGTAAATTTTCAGTTTTTAGAGCCTGACATAAAAATCTTATCGAAAAAATAACAGTCTTTATTATTTTTGAGTGTTTATTACAGAATACTAGTAGTCCATGCTGTTTCTGATATGCGAGGTAAGATATTGGGATAAAACGCATTCATGTATAATTACAGGATTATCTTCTCTCCACGTTAAACGCCTTTCCTTATGCCCATTTAAAGTCTGCATAGCTAAGTATTCGGCGCTCATGAAACCCGTGATAATGCAAAACTATATATGTGTCTACTCCGTACGATAAACACTTGTGTGAGTTGATCTATACACATGGAATTTAAGCATTATCGATGAAAATCGGACGGCTAAGCAAAATTATATTTACCATCATATAATATATTCTGGAAAATATTATAATTGAACTTGATAAAAACTTGCTGGTGCGATCTATATACCTCTGTAAAAGATTACATTCTATCGTGCATTATTTTTTTCTTTACCGAGATAAAAATATCAATGTTGTTCACGGTAAAAATGTGGGGAATACCTTATTCTTCAAAAGTTTTCATCTTACTTATACAAATTTTATGTTAAAAAAATCTTGTTGAGGAAAAAAACAAAAGCACGTGTTATCTTTTTGTTCTTTTAAAATATGTCTTGGGGTGTGTAAAAATGCTGTTGTCTGATTGGACAGAGAAATAATTACGTGTACTTGATGTACATTTATAGCAACTTTCGGTTATCGTTCTTGACTTCCATATTTAGAAATCGTCCAGACCTGTGTAAATATAAGGGATAAGTTTCAGTTTTTTTAGTTTCATGACGTTGATCAATCATCAATTGGCATTTGTGATAATTTTATGCATAAACGCCTTTGGTGTTTTATGCCAATTATCATGCAAGCCCCTTGATTGAGAGATCACATCAAGAAACAAAAATTAGACAATTATTCCTTATATTAAATCATTTTTTTTGTGTATCAAAGTATTTGACTGTTTTAAACAAATAGGAATATGTGGTGTATTTCACGGAATTTTAGACACTTCAAATGATGGCGAACTCTTTAGGGAAGAATTTTTTTTTTCAATTTAGAATATACAATGTATTCTTTTTCTTACTTATCAGGAAATTTGATATTGAATGGAACATGCAAACTAAATGAGCAGTGCTCCAGGGTATTTGGTTCTATTTGTCAGAATAATACATGTGTCTGTGGGCCTGAATATAAACCGTATAATGATTCGGAATGTTTGTGTAAGTTTATATTAATTTGTATAAATCAAATTTAAATAAAAAGTTTTGCGTATTGAATGAATTCTTAACGAAGTGTAAGAAAACAATAATAATGACATTTTCATAGATTTTATAGTTTATAGATATGAATACCTCATGAATTTCAAAATACCTTTGTTACGTTGTTTTAGGAAAAATTACTAAACATCTAAAACAACTAAAAATCTTTGAAAACTTCGAATATATTTTTGTGCGTTATTAAAAAGGTCACTGCATGCATTTCATTTCCGACATTTTTTAAATTACATTTCCGACATAAATTTATTTCATTTCCTACATAATTTTGTTTTCATCTCCGGAATTTACCTGCACGGCGATTTGATGTCTTCCTAGTCAATGAAAATGAAATTTTAAAAGTATTTATTGCAAAATATTGATTAAAAATGTATGTACAATAATCCATTTATTATTATAACAAGTTGCTGTCCTTTAAATAAGGACTGCAATACGTAGACCATATGCATTTTTTCTAACCGAATTTCAATTAAGAAATTTTCTAGGTGTAGTTAATATTCATGTAGGTTTGTTTACATATTCCAAAATGATATTCTTACTTATGACTGATTGTAGTCTCAAAGCAAAATTGTTAAATCTTATCTCCGATTAGAGACCTTTAGTTTTGTCAATTTCAAAAAACGGGCTATTTTGATACATGTAACCCATAATGGCTGGGACTTGACATCTGTTCTGGATTTATGCGGAACAAATTTATATGGGGAAAAATAGAGATCTGATGGTTCACGTGTATCATAGCTCTGTAGCACGCATATTTTTTTGTCAGAACCCCCCCCCCCCGCACACTAAAATCCGTTGCTATTATAGACCTCTATCAAACAGTATTGGATTGCTGTAATAAAAAGAAAATTGCGAGCCTTGATGCACAAAATTAATGCCGGTGAAAACTTGTATCTTTTAAGGTAGCTCATTACATCCACGGTTTAAATTATTTAAGATTTCAATACAGCACGACTTATTATGTAGATGTCAAATATCTAGATGGGGGTATTGATATCATAAATATTTTTTATAGAATTTCTTAGTTTTGTCTAATTTTAGTGAAATGTTTTATTTCAAGTTTATTATTAATAGAATTTCAGAACTTTCAGTGCCAAATGATTGACATTTTCTTAAGACAAGTACACACAGTGAAAATACCTCATAATACCTAAAAATAATTGTAATAGAGAAAATAATTTTCTTCTAATAAACAATTAATGTCATTATCTTTTTAATCTATGCATAAAACATTAAGAAACTGAGTTCTGAAGAGACAAGGAATATATTTCAATGAATTACATGTGTCAAATTGAATGAAGAATCTTATGTTTAAACGAAATGAAAAATCAGATTTAAAAATATTTGGTATAAAAAGTCTACTTTCAAGAGTTATCTTTCCTAATTAACCAAGACTCAAAACACTAAGTAACATTTGACATTACATCTAAAATTCAGAACAAAACTTTAAATTGTCCGAGGATTTAAAGCAAATATATAAATTAACACTAACACAGTAAATAGTGCAAGTAAATAACTTTTTAATTTCAACAAGGTTGTAGATTTTAACGCGAATTTTTTCCATACAAACATGTCATTGATTGATAGAGCTCTTTGCATGCATCGCTCTGAAATTGACATTACTTGTTTGGCGAGATTTGACAGTTGTTTTCTTTTGTTTCTTCTTAAAAGCAATTCTTCTTGGTTTATGCATAATGAATCCGTTACTTTGTTTTCACCTTTTATAACACCGCATGTTTCATCTATTTTTAAAGCGTTTTAAAGGTCAAGGTCATATTATAGAGGTACCTGTACAATTTGTCCCCAGAAGAAAACGGTCAACACAATGGATGTTTATTATTTGTGTAGTACGTCATCAAAAAGTGGTGTAATGAGCCTCCTTTAATCTAGAAATAGTCGTACGCGTTGAATGACGTTTTTCATTAAAATTGTTAAGTTAAATGTAATTGATATACTGCAAGTTCTTCCTACTTTTTAAAATCCTGATACCATAGAATCAAAGTTTAGTTTGTATATAAAAGTATTTGTATAGGAGGGAAATTCGGATCCGCCAACGAATGTGTAAATGCGATATGCGGATTTAAAAGCGCAATTTGCCAATGAATGGCATATTCTAATTCGAAAAGGGCGAATTATTCTACGAGCAAGTTACCTAAGGTGTGAACTCTCTAGCAATCTCGCGCATGCGTAGCCTGTCGTATGCGTATCCTTTTTAGCCTCGTTTATATATTTACTGCGTGGACCTCAGGGTCCACGCATTTATATGAATACATGTAGGACTAAGTCTCGGTAATAGATTTGGTACATACAACTTTTTCACATTTAATGTGCACTTTTGAAATAAATGTCAGTGACAGCATCAAACGTATGTCCAGAACACTTGGTGTACTCTAATCGAGTTTTAAAAGCTCCGGTTCATAACACATTTTTCATATTGCTCCACACAAAACTTTATTTTTTTTATGTTATACATCTGCGCAGAGTAAACATTGAGTCAATCACTCGAACTTTAATTTAGGTAGTTGCCTGTATTTTCTATTTTCATGTCGTTTCATTAATAAATTTATAAAAACTTGGATTAAATATTATAAATAATTGGATTTCAATGATTTATTAATGATTTGTAGTCCTTGTTTTAAATTTTTCATAGGTTTTCCAATCTGTTACTAAAGGTACTATTTGAAAAATGTCGGAAATGAAAAAAAAGGTCGGAAATGAAAGCAAAGGATGTCGGGGATGAAATGTTGATAATTACCAAAAATTCCGTAAATGAAGTGCAGCCAAAAAGGTGTTTAGATATATATAAAAAAAAGCATTCCACATTAGTAGACTCACCATAAGAGATATAATTCTTTGATAAAACCTCATCTTAACTTTCCTTTTTGTCTCAAATTTTCTACAAGTATATAATATTATTGCTTATAGTGCACTCTGAAAATGGAGAATACGAAGTTCGGGCCATGGAACTTAAAGGTATTTAAATTTCAGTAATTTATTTCAGTATTATATTCTCGTTGCTTGGAGTTAAAGATCAATGCAAATGCATATAGAAATACATGTACATTCATTATTTCTTGTTCCTTTTTCTACGTTTGTAAAAATATATCAGAAAACTTTGGTCTTATTTATGAGTGACTTTTGTCAACTTGATAAAGTATTGTACAATAAAAGAAGATATTTACTCAAAACACATCCTCGGACATCTATGAGTATTCTATGGTGATTTTATTAATTATTTCATTTTTAGTTAAAATTTCAAATGAAAATATAAATGTGCGAGAATTTGTTCAAAAATACAGTGTGTGATCTATTTCGTTGATTACGAGAGAAATGTTTAGAGGTGTACATACATGTAAAGGGTTGGGGGATCAAACTGCAGCTAGAACGGTTGTTCCAAAAATTATGCCGAATTTCGACGCAGGAAAATGTTATATTAAACAACAGTTTAATAAATTAACTTATCATACAAAGTTTTTAAATCCATGCTATATAAACTTTCTGCCTGACTCTGTTAAAAATTAATTGTTATCATAGCGTGTAATGAGTATTAAATTTGTTGGAAGATGTTAAACCATGTTCAGAAGATAGTGAAAGATTTTAATGGAATTGTGATTTAAGGTGGAATGCCTCACCAGTTTTTTATTTTATATATCTTTTAGCCCTCCTTTTTAAGCAATGGTTTCAACATTGAAAGGCCGATATTAGCTCTTAATTATTTTATATGAATTTTTTTTGTATTTTTTCAAAGAAAATGAAAAAAAATATTTACATCCTATGGAATGCCATATACGACAGCCAACTGCTTACTGCCAACTGCTGACTGCTTACTGCCAACTGTGAGCTGCTTACTGCCAACTGCCATACATATTTGAATAAATTTTATATTTGTATCGATATTTATATGAATTTTTACCAAAAAAAGGGGGGGAGGCACGGATCCAGGACATTTTTTCCAAGGGGGTCACCCTGGTAAAATTGAATTGAATAAAATGATCAATATGTTTTATTTTTGTAATATTCAATATATGCGGTTGACTTTGTTTATTTTTTATTTGTTTTCATATTTGAAATAGGTACAGTGCAGGGAACTAATTTTGTTACATAAACCAGCATCAGGATCAGCATAAGTAGGATCAGGATAGAACTAGCATCAGCATCAGCATTTAAAAAAAACAGCATTACTTGGATCAGCATCAGCAAGCAAAGGATTGAACTAGCATTGACCAAAGTGAAAACAGATAAAGGAAAGTCATTTAATACAAATTACAAATAAAAATTACCCCAAAAATTATTTTTAATGGCTTAAAATAGCGATGCTGTTTTTGAATTATCCACTTCCGGCAGGATAATCCTACTTCCGGTAGCATTACTAGCATTGACCTAGTTTCAAACCAGCATCAGGATAAGGATCACACCAGGATCAGGATAAGGATAACTAGCATCAAAATCAGCAAGGAAAGGAAGCATCAAAATCAGCAAGCATAGGAAGCACCAAAATCAGCATTGATGCTGTAACAAAATTATTTCCCTGCACTGTAACAAAATGACTATTTTCTGCTTTTAATCTTTAAAGAAGCCCCCCCCCCCCTTCCCCGGAGGCAACAAAACCTTTGAAGAGAGAATAATAATAAAAAGATTTGTCGTTTCGCGGAGAAAGATGTTTTGAAAATAAATTTCCGTTTTCCATTATTTTCTATGATCAAAAATTTCCTAAAATTAAAGATGTATATCTCTGTGTGTTATAATGTTTCACATGCATAGATCTGGGGGGGGGGGGGGTAAAATTTGTACTGTCATACGTTAAATAAACTAAACGAACTAACGGTATAACTGACCTTGGACCCTCCACTTAGAAAACACCGATCAAACATTTATATCTCTTTGTTTGTACAAATAAAATATGTTTTACATGCATAGATCTAGAGAGAGGGATCCGGAACACCCCTCTAAAATTTGTAAAGTTATTTAATGCACAAACTAAACCAACTAAAAGTTATTAAATGTATAAAATAATTCAACTAAATGGGACCTTAGACCCCCCCTCCCCAACCGAAAATGTGGATTCGTGTTAAGTTGGTATGAAAAATGTTATACACATGAAGGTATGAAGCATATGAACCCCCTCTCCCCGGCCGAAATAAATTTTCACATTTAGGAAAGGACTTTACGTATTTTTTTCTTGTCAAGAAATTTCTGGAGTGGATTTTTTTTTTACCAGAGTGACCCTCTCGGAAAAAATGTCCTATAGATCCGCACCCCTTTTTTAAATTTACATAAATATCAATATAAAAATAAAATTTATTCAAATATGTGTGGCAGTTGGCAGTAAGCAGCTGACAGTTGGCAGTAAGCAGTCAGCAGTTGGCAGTAAGCAGTTGGCTGTCGTATATGGCATTCCATAACATCCAAATTAGATGCTTTCTTGTAAAAATTTTGCTGTAATTAAATGCATCACATGAATACCTAATAAAATATGTAAAGAAAGTCTGGTTAGACTTTTTATTTTTTTTTTCATAAAAAAATATTTATGAAAATAAAACACATTATTTGTGATTTTTTTTAAACCTGTATGGTTGAAAACACCATAAAACTAGTCACTTCTAAGGAGAACATGTTTGTCATATTTTTAAAAGAAATTAAAACGAAATTAAGAAATTTTAGAGAAATTATAATTTTTAATATTTGGACATAACCCGATCGAAATTAAACTGATCGCGATCAAAATTAGCACAAAATGAATAAAATGCTAATTTATTGCCTCTTCATGTATTTACGATGAAGAAATCTATTTTATTGTTAAGTTCTGTAATGTTTTAACCCTTATAACACCTAATCAGACTAGTGTTCCTAGGAAAATATTATTTATTTCCACTAATTATACAAATATGGTCGGGATCGGTTTAATTTTGATCGGGATTGGCCAAAATTAAAAAAAAATTAATTTCTCTAAAATTTGGCTATTTTGTTTCAATTTCTTTTATAAAAAATGATTAATGAACATGTTCTCCCCAGTTGTGGCTGGTTTTTAGAAGATTTTAACTACAAATTTAAAAATCATTCACAAATTATGTGTTATATTTTCATAAATATTAAAAAAAAAAATAAAAATAAAAAGTCTAACCAGACTTTCTTTACATATTTTATTAGGTATTATGTGATGCATTCATTTACAGCAAAAATTTTACAAGAAAGCATCTAATTTGGATGTAAATATTTTTTTTTATTTTCTTTGAAAAAATGCAAAAAATTCATATAAAAATAATTAAGATCTAATGTCGGCCTTTCAATGCTGAATCCATTATTGTTTAAAAAGGTTGACTCAGAGATCTATAAAATAAGAAGTTGGTGTGGCATTCCTCCTTAACTGAATTCCAGAGCCAACAAAAAACGTCATGAAAAAAGTCTTCCTTGTTTGGAAATTTATTATAGCTTCAGCATCAACCTTCCTAGAAATTCAATTTATTGATAAACAAACACTAGTGTGGTGTTAAACACTAGAAATACGTGCTTTGAAATGATTTGAAAGAGCTTATCAAAATTTTGGTAGTTAATTATTGTTATCCTTGCTGAAGATAACGTAGTCGGTTTGATGGTTGGAGCTGTTATAGGAGGCCTTGTCTTAGGCATTGTTCTTACTGTTCTTGGATTCATCGTCTACAAAAATATACGAAATGGGAAACCTAAAGCTGAAAAAAGGTATAACACTGATTCATTTTTAACTCTGCTTTTCAGAGACCGGAAGATCATATGCGATAAAAACGCGTCCGTCGTCTGTCCCTCTAGCTGTCTGTCTGTCTTGCTGTCTGTCCATCTCTTAACATTTAAAAAAATGCTACTCCTCCTACAGTTTTGATTTGATTTCAATATATCTTCAGTTGGCATACAAGTAAACTACACTCAGATACATAATTCTGTTTTTATCGGTATTTGATTTCAATGAACGGTGTTGCCGTGGTTACTAAAAATAGGAATTTCAATAAAATACATTCAAATTGCTTCTCCTCCTAAAGTTTTGATCTGATTTCAATATAACTTGGCACACAAGTAAACTACACTTTGATACATAATAATATACATCGGTTTATGATTTCGGTGAACAGTGTTGCAATTGTTACTAAAAATAAAGTGTCTGTGAAATACTAAAACATGCTACCCCAAATACAGTTTTACTCTGATTAAAGTATACTGTGGCATATAAGTACAGTTTGTAGACTACACCGAGATACATAATTGCCTTTTTTGTTTTTATTTTGTTGATTGATGTTGCCATGGTAACTCAAATGGTTAATTCTGTAAAATTTTATTTAAAGCTACTTCTACATTTGTAGTCGTATTGCAATCTCGCCACAAAATCAAGGAGACTTAATCAAGGACAATTACTTTATTTACTGCTGTTGTTACGTTTCAAGTCCCAGCTGCTACTTTTATCTCCCTTTGTATAAGTATAAACCAGTAGAGCTACAGTCTCGACAAAGACTTCTGGCTTTAAAAATGATTACAACTATCTTTCTGTGTATAAACTTTTATTTTGACACGTTTTACTGATGTTTGAAATCAAATTACAATTTTTATTACTTTGATAAGGCAATACCCGAAGGCCGCAGTTTTTAAAAATACTACTTATGAAGCTGAAAGAGATGCAGATCAGAATATTTTTACCGTGCAATGTGAGGTGAAAAATATACAAAATATTAAATAAAAGTAAATCTTTGCACAAACATATAGTAACAATTTTATGTTTCTTGAAATCATCCTTTTCCTACTATTTGACAAAATAATATTGATATAATTGTAAAAGATTCTAATATGATGAATGAGACAATTTTTGGCGTGCTAGGTTCACGTACACAGCAAAAAATCCCATTAAACGTAGTTTAACTGGTCAGAAAATAAATGAAATAAAACAAGAGTAATATTTTTTATTTAACGTTTTTTGATTCCAGAGAAAGGGTGAAAATGTGCCAAAGTGTGCTCATTCCAATGATTTCCCAGTAAGTAAAAACAAGCGCACCTATCAGGGAAATAAAAGTTCGATGATGAAAAGTTACGTCGTAAATGATGACGTATACAATCACCTACATGTAAAGGAAGAGAATTCTGAAAATGATGAAACTTACGACCACGCCCATGGAAACATAAGCAGTGCAATGGAAGATAGTGATTACAGCAATCTCAATACAGGGATAAGATATAAGGAACCCGATGTGCACTTAAAAAGCAGTATAGATGTATATTCTGGTGCAAACAATTGTTGTGCATAGTCTGAGGCATGCCTTTTTTCTTAAACCGTTGGATGGCTTTCATTGATTCACATTAGATTCTTTACTCAAGCATAATACAAAAACATGTTTTGAAACTTTTTAAAAAATTTTCCGATCGACCCTTTGATTAGCTAGGGGAAACCATTTTTTATAGAATTTCTTTCTTACGTTTGGGCGTTTTTTAAGACACAGATTAAACATTTGAAGAGTTTATTTATGGTATAATCTTTCTAGCCAGAGATCTTCATTTCTTTCCATTTTATAATGCTGAACAGATTTGTTTGCCCTGACACAAGTTATTTCTATTTATAACTACATGTAAGTGATACCTTTTCAATTAATCTTTCAGGATCACCTTTGCAAGGTGTAAATAATACCGTGCAGCCCAGAAAAAAGCACAAACACCCAATCGATATATGCTTTTCTCTTTAACATATTAATATAATGTTTTGTTGTTTAATTTGTTATGTCACTAAATGCTATTCTAACACTTTTTGTAAGTTGCATCAGCTTTCTCGTAATCCTGCTGCTGCTCTGTAGTTTATAAATTGCACTTTAGGTTTACATTTAGCATATCATAATAAACAAGTTTTATATACAAAATATTAATCTTTTCTAAATGCATATTATATAATAATCATTTTAAATACTAGACGTATTTTTAATTCATATACTATCAATAAAAAAAATAGCATTGCAATTTCTGTATACCATGTTCGGTAAACATCAAAGGATCAAAAGATAATTTGAAGGTCTCCACGAGTCCCATACAAGGTGTACAGGGTATACATAGACACTAGTAAGTAAATGTCAATCAAGTTCCAGTGTGAAAATTAGCGACATCAATCAACCAAACTTGTAAGAGATTAATTAGGACCCGACATTCCAAAGCACACTTCTAGTAGATATGTTTTTTGCATAGAACAGATTAATAATTGATTTGAATTATGCAAGTAGTTGTAGAGTGTTTGGTCTATCAAGAAGCCTCGTCAGAGACCACGGACATAAATCATGGTGTTTGTTTTAGGTGAGACCGGATTATATCTCATCACCTCTGTTCTTGTGTTTGCTGTAAACTATGATTGGTTGAGAATTCAATAAAGTTTTACATTCTGAATTTCTAAGAATGGTGATTTAATATTTCAGAATTCGTTTTTTTTCAGTCCTTTAACGCAGGGGTTAAATTTAGTAACCAGTACTGTAGGGTTACGTAATGGCTGTTCTTTATTGTGTATTCTATTTTACCTGGAAGACCAATAATCTCGCAATGCGATACGCCTACGAGGAAAATAGGACAAAATTGCGATTACTTTCTTGTACCTATTGTACAAAAACAATCAACTTATATTTAAGACACAACGGACTTTTTCAAGGAAATCGAAGGCCTCACACTGCCAACAAACGCATTATTATAATTACTTATGATGTGCCAAGCATATACACAAACATGGAATTCAACTTCTCTCATCATTAAATGAGGGTTACAAACAGGCCAATAAAACTGTTTGGTTGTAAATTGGATTAAAATAATTCAATGATTTACCCATGCTTTATAAAACCATTACCATTTCCTCAAAATTAAAGCCCGTAAAATCTCATATACATGCATAAGTATTTCCTAAATTGAAATGGATGTCCAAAATCCCTATATCCTAATAACTTACAAACGGACATCTGAATTCTTTTACAACACAATGCACCTCTATAAAAACAACGGCTAACAAATGAAAAATCTTCATTACAGGTAAATCTAACGAATCATGGTTTTTCTAAGTCACTGTATAAACACTTTATAAACAACTCATTTCTATGATCAGGGCATAAACACACACCTACAGAAATTCTAGAGCTTTTTTTGTTTTTTTTTTAATTTCAAATTCCACTGTCAACCGGTCACACCCATCGTAAGCCCTATTATTGATCAGGTAGGTGGAACATTCTGTGGGATGATTAAAATCAAAGATCTTACAATCGGTATAAAACAGGCCAGCCAAAATTATTGAATTTAAATGAAGTGCAGATTTAAAGGTTATTTTGAAGTTCCTGTAACATCAGCTTATCTGTCAGAAGCCGCATCAGTTCCAACATCGATCGTTGATTGCTCTTGAGTATCGATTATAGAAGGTTATGTAAAAGCCATATGCTGGTAATTTATATATAATTATTATTGAAGAAAAAAAGCTGACAATGGAAAATATATCATTACGTTTGTCATGCAATATCGTTGTTTACTAGTCCCTATCATCCTTATAGTCAGTAAATCATCCAGTTATGAAGCAAATAATGCTTCTATTAAATCGGTCCAACCTTACAACATAAGTCTGAAAAAGGAACAATAATTCCGATGAAGACATAAATTATTGTCTTTAAATTATCAAAATTAACTGGAAGGGTATCCGACTATGCTTTACTTGCATTAGTCAATTTTTTTTAATGAGCTACGAAGAATTCTCTCCTCGTTCAACTACGGCCAGAATCGGAGAGGATCGTACATTTTGGCCGTGGTTTGCGAGTGCCCCATCCCTTGCCTTCCTCGCTTGACACACACATACACTTCTTAATTTTTAACCAATGTACACACGACGAACATGCATATCAAGAACTTTTAATGAAGCTATGGTCAATCTCTGGTAATAAAATGTCCATCAAAAAGACCATCAAAAATATGCCAATCAAAGTCAAATTAATCCTTTGTAATTAATTACATTGCATTCAATATATATGAAGTTAAAGTCATAAAAACGATATATTTAGTTGTATTTATGTCCGTACAGTACCCGCATCGTTATTCTTTACAATTCTATCGTGTCCTATCGTGCGTGTATCCTATCGTATCGTGCGTGTATCCTATCGTATCGTATCCTATCGTATCGTGTTTTCCGTTTATCAGGTTTTGCGTTTTCTATCGTGTTTTCCGTTTATCGTGTTTTGCGTTTATCGTGTAGATCGTTTATCAGGTTCTATCGTGTATCGTGTTTTGCGTTTATCGTGTATATTCTGAAACCGTTGCTTTTTATCTTTACTTTAGAAAGAAACTACTGAGCTATTCCGAGTTTTTTTTTCGTTTTGTTGACTAAAATAAGATTACTTCAACCGAAAAAGAGAAATGAAAGTTTTATCCTTTTGTTTTTCATCATTAAAAGAAATAGTAAGCGCAAAAGAAAAAGAATGAATAAATAAATAAATAACATAGTTCTTAAATAAATAGATTGATCGATTAATTAATCAATAATAAAATAAATAAAATAATTATTTCATAGTCAAGCAGAGAGTGTTTATCAAATGTTAAACAGTAACTCTGTTTTCGGAAATGAAATTATTATCGGTCGCCTGTTTTTTTTTTTTTTTTTTTTTTTTTTTTTTCGTATTGTATGATTAATTATTTCGTCAAAATTAAATATTATCAATATGATTTTCTTGAATAAATCAGAGTTACTTGAGAAAGAATTTTGAAAGCTACGGTGTATGCGTACTCAAAAAGCAAATAAATAAATAATAAGCATGGGACTGATATGCATCTTTTTTTCGGTCCTACTAAACAGAGTACGATAGAGTACTTTAGAGTACGCTAGTAATATTTTATAATTTAATGCAATTTAATTACTTTTTATATGTTTTTCTACTTTAGTTTAACATATTGAATATATATTTTAAAAAAACATTGTATGTTTTCTGTATTTTAGGAGTTATTTTAATTTTTGATTTCAGGTTACGGTTGATCGTTTGATCCCGATCTAATTTAACTGAAACGTTAAATTGTCTCATTGTGAATGTGAAAAATATTTACACATGCAATTAATTTAATATTATTAAATAAAATTTAGATGCAAGTATTTAGTAAGAAAGTCTGAAACACAATATAGTAATCGAGATTGGGGTATTAGCTATATAGGTATACCGTAATCTTTAATGCGTTTAATTTTGGATGTTATTTCTTGTCAAAATATCGCTAAAAAACAAATATTTGAAACAAACATTGTAAAATAAGTTTAAAATAATGTTTAATCAAGTTGTACATACATAAATAAACAATTTAATTGCATTGAATAACATAATTTTTCTAGCGTACTCTAATGTACTCTATCGTACTCTATCGTACTCTGTTTAGTAGTACCATCTTTTTTTAAACTATATTCTTTTTTCCCTTGTTTATCGTCTGATTATATTAGTTATATGTTTACGCCTCTGATCTGCATGTATATTATGCATAATTATTTAAAGTATTGATGTTACAAAAATATTAAAGCATAAGACATTGATCCAGATGATTTTAACATTGATGTTGGCCGTATGCGTTCAATTTTTAAATTAATTTTTTATCACTTTTTGATTAGCTACTTATAAATTCCTTGATGAATGTCTAATTAACAAAAAAATCAAAATTAAAAAAATATTATGCATGAAATATTTTACCATATTTATAACACCTTGGTTGTTACTATAAAATAGAAGTTTTTCATTAAATCTATCTGGCGTTAGATAATCTAAGAATAATATAAACAGGGAAAAACATGATGTTTTTTTAAAAGCTTACCCTTCGGCGTGGAAATAAACTGAAAATATAATCCATAGGGGTGTCAGAAATCAAAATAAATCGAAGACCTTTCCTTACCAGAAAACTGACACGTATGTGTAGCTCTCTAATTAGCACACCTTCCTGTGCGGTCAACCACCCCCTCCCCCTTCTCCCCAAACTGACACCTCGCCCCCTGTGTGTGATCACCGTCTACATACCTGTACTGACTTCTCACCTGGGGTCAATTAGTAACCTCGAATATTATTGGTTCTAATGAAACGCATCTACTTATTTTCGGGATTTTGTTCCTTACTTGTTTGAACAAACTTATCAAAGATTGAATTCAAAATATATTAAATAATTGTACAATAAATGGATAAAAAATGATCTCATTGCTTGAATGTTAAATAAAAGATCAAATAAATCAATGTCATGAAATGAAGTCCCTAAACTCAATCCGCAGATTTATTTCATTTCGTACGTTTCCATCATATTTATGTAAATTAGTCTTTTAATAAAACTTTTTAAAAAAAAATACTGCATCTATGGTACATGCACTTTCGGATCATCGGGTTTTCTACGTAATACGGACAAAATTAATTCTAGGAAACAGTTTCTTTGATCGTACCAACGGATGAAATAGTTCTAACATTCTAAACTATGAAAATCAGCTTGCATTATTTTTTACGGTATCTTCCTATAATAATAAAACAAAAGAAGTCGTCTGATTCCGCCGTTACCATGCAAGACTATAGTAAATACACCCAATCAATTGATAGTATTAATCGATTAATTTCATACGTTTATAACTTTATTTAAGAATTTATTAAATATTTTGCTTTTTGGTTAGATCTTGTTTATCTAATTTTGAATTGGTTACGGACTTTCAACATCCCGCCCCTCAAATATTCCTCAAATGAGATTACCTGGTCAGTCTTAAATGATTTTTAAGGTTTTAATTAATAATTCATTTGCCGAATTAAACCTTTTTTTTGTTATTATTAGAAACAGTACACACAGAGTTTAATAACAATGATTTATAATTATTTAGTCGGAAAAGTCGCATTTCACTCTTTTAATATTTGTTAGTTAATTTTTCTGTTCTGTGTTGTAAAGAAAAAAGTATTTAACCATTCTATGTTTATTAATAAATACATGTACGAGGTATATCCGATATATAAATGTTTAAATGAGCATAAGCCCTAGCTTAGCGTAAACGTACATGTACATATGCAGTTGTAGCAGATTCATATTCTCATGACACAGTTTACATGTATTAATGCAGAGCGCCATTATTTTAACAATTATTTAGATTTCTATTCTGGAAATTAATTTTCTTGAATTGTTTAATTCTTGATAGATCTATCATGTTAAATCTATTTGTTAAAGCCGATATCTTGGAACCTTTCTTTCGGCCGGTCTTCTACATGTATTATTTTTTTCTTAGATATTTTAATATTTAATTGCGATTTTGGATACATCGCAAATTGTAAGTTTTAAACATTAAATACAAATATTTAATTTATTGCGTAAATTCCTTCCGTGAAATTACTTGGCACTGTTAGATAAACTTATTAGATAGAAAATAAAAATGTATATTTTTTCATGAATAATAAATCTATTCATAGAGTTTCAAAATTCACACCCTTGAGAAGAAATAATAAAAAAAATACA